ATAATTGCCTGACCATGCATTAATGGTTATTTCAGATTTGGACAACACAATCAACTGCAGTCAGGTCAACTTAATATTAAAAAATCATTATCTATTGCAGTTAACAAACTCTTGATAATCATGAAGTAACCGTGTTCTTTGGTTTAGAGCAGGGCTGTCAAACTCCTGGCCTGCGGGCCAGATGCGTCATGCACTGGTCACGTCCACGTCCGGTTTAGTGAAGGGGGGGGAGTTCTGATACATCACGTGATGCCACTGTGATGACGTGAGTTTGACACCCCTGGTTTAGAGATATTTTCCTCAGGAAAAAACAAACTATATAACAAACTCTGGCTAGGAAAAAATCCCAAGTCCTGAACACCTAAAATCAATGAAATAAGTTTGAACATATTTGATAGAAACTAATTCTACCTATTCAGAGGATTTCTTGAGGGCGCAGTTATTCTATTCTCATTTTAGTGATGGAGCATACATTTTCCTTCTGGTGCTAAAAGAATGTCCTTATTACATTCAATTTAGGGCAAAGCTAATAACAGTAACTTAACCTATTGCCTCTCATCTGCAATTTAAAACTGGTTGTTTGCCAAACATCAATGAGCTCGAGAGCTTATTTGCTTGAGTAACTGCCATGAGCAAAGCAATTTGGTACTGTTCTGATCTACACAACATAGCATATAAATATATATTTTCCTGATACTTTGTTTATATGCTACAAACTATAGGTCAGAAAGGAGAGGGGCTAATAAATGTGTTTTCAAAGTTGTTATAAATGCTGTCAATATTAACTTATTCTACTTTGCGGTTCAGTAGGACTGCATAACACTCAAGATTTAAAAAGTATATTAGAAGGTATATACGGACATAGTAACTCCTCAGATATATCTTTTCCCAGGATTGCACAGCAGCTGCAGAGAACAGCCCTTGTAACCCAGGAAAAGATGCTGCAAAAGATGCAAAAAATTGCGAATATGTTCTACATTCATAATGTTATATTGTTGTGGCCCGCCAGGGGCCTGCGCGGATCGTGGCTGATCCTGATGAAGAGGAGGCTGGTGTGATGTCGCGCCAGCAGCCTGCACAGCCAGCGCTCGCGTCGGACAGCGAGGAGGCTGAAGAGGATGTGATGCCAGAGGCAGAGACTCAGCCAGGGCCTTCAGAACCTCCAGAGGCTCCTTCCAGTGGAGAGAGCGAAGTAGAGGAGCCTCTCCTCAATGCTTGGGCACGCAGGGCTGCCAAAAGGCAGGAGTGACTACTCAGGAGGAGGAGGTCTACTCGAGAGTAGGGCTTGAGGGTAATTGGCCACTCCCTTAGCCTATTTAAGTTGCACGCAGCTAGTGTGTTCTTGCTGGAAACAACTTGTATTATTATCAGAGTATTTTGGTTTATCATATCTTGTTTTCTGGGCTGGTTGCCAACCTTTGCCAGTCTTGTTTATTCTTGTTACTAAATAAATTTGATAAGGACCGTTGGTGTGTGTCAATATCCTCGGAAATCCGGAGCTGGGGCAGAACATATATATTCCAAAGCGCCCTTCTAGAATTAAGTCCAAATCACTGCACAGCTACATTGATTTGGTTTAAGATGGCAGAAATTCTATTATTCAATTATTTGGGAGTAAGATACCTTGAGCCTGGGTAGTGTTAGGCTTCAGTAACAACAGCTTCACCAACATTTCACTAGCGACTGTGGCTGGCATCTTCAGAAGTAAGATAGCTAGCTCTGCAGTCCACAGTGAGATTCTGTCTTTATAATCAGATGTCCTGACTTGTGATTGGTCTTCAGCCAAGATGGTTTCTGTTTGGTGCAGGTTGATAAAGAATTGGTTAGTTATTTCTTTGTGTTCTAATTCAACTGAAGATTTAAAATTCTTTTGTAATAGACTTTCTCCTTCAGTAATGGGAAAATTAGAAAGCAAGTTGCTAGGTTGGCAGAAGCTGGAGCAAGGATGGGAGCTCACCCTGTTACGTGCCACTTGGGTCTCAAACTAGCGTCTTAACCACTCAACCACCGTGCCAATCTAATATATACATACAGTAAGCATTTAATCTAAAAAGGACCAAATAGAAAAATCAACAGAAGGCTTGAATCACTGATACTAAATTCCAAATAAAATTAATTTAATATTGCCTGCATGATAGGATCTTGAGATTCAGACTTCCTATACAGTTTATTGTGTAGTGTTGTTAAATAGATTCCTTTCTTTTTAGAGCATTTATCTTTTAGTTGTCTAATAGAAATAAAGCAAAAAAAAAATTTACAAAGCATCTGAATCTATCTTTCTAATACCTCTGAAGTTGAATTATTAAAATGCTGGCTGCTTTCTATAAAAAATTTTTAGACAAGCTATTTCAGAGCAGCATTCTGGAAATTTTTTTAAAAAGAATCTGGCTTTCAGACCTCCCATCATGAGGTCAACTTAATTGGTCTAGGTCTAGGAGATCATTTTGGATTATAAGAAATAAATGGGATTATCATCTGTAATAATAATTCTGAGGATTTATGAGTAAAGTATTTTTTTTCAATCTAAACTTCATCTTGGCTTGATTAATGGGCTGAGACACTGATAAAAAATATTTGTCTTGAGACTGAGAAAATACTGCCTCTATAAAACCTGCTAGATTTCTCTGTGGAGTCTGATAATAGTTGTCACATAGAATCTATTGCTTTGAAATTATTACTCTTTGTGATTTTTTTAAAAAAAAACTAAGCCTCTGAACACCATTATTTCATTATACTGTTGGTTCTAGCAATATGTGAAATGAGTAAGAAGCAACTAAATTGATTCCAGTTGGATCATATTGTGAAGATGCCTGGAAAAAATTGTTGTTATTATTATTAAAATATAAAGCCGAATGTCTAAAAGAAAGTTATTAGCAAAGAAGTAACCATCATTATAGGGGCATTAAGAATTCTACAAATATACACTTTTCATCCATCATCACAAGCACCTTTTCCATTAATTTCTGCTGTAGGAAGTTAGCACCCACCCCTTTCCTAGAAGAATGAAATATTTTAGGATATACTAAAAAGGCAGAATATTATGTTTCCCTGAATGAGAAATGGAGAAGCATGTTTTGAAAGACGAAGCAGCTCCCACCTTCTTGCCCCCCACCCTTTGTAAATGGGCCAGAGGCAGAAACTCAATCTTTGTCAATGGACCATCATCTGCAACACAATAGGACCCATCTAGCAACAGAAACTCACCACATGGCACCTGGGAAGATTACATCAGCCAGCAAGGCTAACTAAGACCCCCACCCCATGGGAGTCTGCCAACCAATCAGGATACTCTTTCTGGGCCCCAGGAAGTTCAAAGCCAGAGAGGGCATAAAACCTGGGGACTCGCTGGATCTCGCCCTCTTTTCTGTTCAGGAACCCAAGCCATGTGATCCTGTCCACCATTAAACCATCTTTCCAAGCAGTCTCCATGTTTCCAGTGTCTTTTTCTCCACTTGGAGCTAGAGTTACCAGGTGTCCACTATTTGAGCAGACAGTCCGCTTTTTTCACATTATGTTCACTATTTTTTTTCACAAAAGTGGACCTTTTTTTTATTCAAAAGCTTTATGATGAAATGGTAGGTAATCTAAAGGATAGGAGAATCGGGTTTTGTCTTTTTTTTTCATAAGTTAGAATGAGACAAAGATCGAATATCCATTGAACTCGATTCTCCGAAAAAAATGAGATTAAAATAAAAATATATTATAAAATTATGTACAGTTCACATTTTTAAAATGTATTGTAGCTTGTGTCGGCTGACCTAAAATGGCGTCGAGTGATGAGAAGTGACAGCGGCGAGATTTCAAATTCTTTAAAACGAAAGAGAGGAGTGTGCAAATACACCAAAGACTGGGAAGCTACTTTTGCATGGATTACCAACAACGAAACCGACAGAACAAATACAACGGCCTACTGTAAATTGTTTGTAAGAAAATACATAATTTAATTGTAATTTTTTTTTTTTTACTACTTAACCCCCACCACCACCCCACCACCCCCGCTTGTCCGCTATTTTTTGGAAGCAGACCTGGCAACCCAGAAGGATATTTCTTCTAACACTGCCATTCTACAGTATTTACTCCTCCTTAGCCCGTTATTACATTGTGGGCTGCATTGTGGTTTAACATTGTTCCAACTTAGTTTCAAAGGCCGGAGCGAAAGCTGAGCCATTGAAATAAGTCTTTTGAATCTAACAAGTACTTGTCAATCTTTGGTTACTTGCTTCATGCCAAATTAACTAGGATTGGGGAGAAAGCAGCGAAGACAGCAAAACTAAGCCACAGAAAAAGCAGCAGCAGCAGCAAAGGTTAAACTGCATCGTCAGTAAAGCATTTCAGGTTTGAAAGCAAAAGAGAAGGAAGGGCAAGAGGGCAGAACCGCCTCAAAATGCACCCAGCTGTAAAAAGCAGATCAGCAACCTCTCTTAAAGCTTCTGAGAATATCGATACTTCCGGCAATACTGAGCGGTACAGCGCATATATTGACCGTTCCCCGTATGATCACAACCGGAAGAGGATTTTTAAATTAAAAGCAATCAATATGGATTGAATGCAAAGTCTCAGAAGCAGAACAAGTTTTGGGACTCCGCCAAGGGAATCCCGGCATCCTCTGTGGCTATTAAGAATAATTATTTTATTCATCCAGTTCCCGGAATCCGACAGCCGCTGTCCCCTCCACTGCAAAAAAACAAACATATAAAAAAACTCACCACCAGCCTTTAAAGCAGAGGGCTTCAAACTTGGCCGCTTTAAGTCTTGTGGACTTCAACTCCCAGAATTCTACAGCCAGCTATGCATATGCATAGCTGGCTGTAGAATTCTGGGAGTTGAAGTCCACAAGTCTTAAAGCGGCCAAGTTTGAAGACCTGCTTTAAACTCTTCCCAGCAGCAGATCACACACATATCTAATCTAAAAGTAAGGGAGGAGTCAGAACGTCTCGGTCTACGCATGCGCTTTCCCAGCTCCGGGGTGATGAATGAGGCGAGGGCGTGGCTGACGGCCGCACGCGACTGCCGAGCTCGCCGTCACAACGTGAGGGAAGGGGGGGGAGCCCTCATGAGGCGGGGGAAGGAGCGGACTCGCTGCTTTCCTCGGCGGCGCCGTAACGGCTGATCGTTACGCCGCGTGTCCCTTTCTCCTCCATGCCCGAGAGCCGTAGCCGCCACAGCTGTTGGCCCCGCCATCTCCTTTCTTCCGCTTGCCGCCGACGCCGAGGAGGGACCGTGGTAACCGATTCCGGCGCTACGTCGGTGGGTGGGTGAGCGAACGCCCCCCCGGCCGCCCTCTCTCTCAGCATGCCATGGGCAACAGCTGGGCGGCGCAGTGGTGTTGCTGGGTCTTCCCGAGACGGGAAGCGGGACGCCTCCAACGAGGAGGAGGGTAAGCGCGGTGGGACGTCAGGGTTGGGGTCGGTTCCGCCTTTCCGGGGGGCGGGAATTCAGGGCAGGCCGGCCTGGGACTGAAAGGCAGAGCCCCTCTCGCCTCTTTGCTTTGGAAGAGAAGGGAATTCGGCTAGAAACTCGACCCGCGCTTTTGTTAACCGGGGAGGGTTGAATAAAGCCTCCATGTTCGCCGGCAGTCTATCTGAATCCGAGTGAACAGCGGGCAGGCGTTTCTGAAGGCGCTGGCCTTCAAGCCATGCCTGGTTTTTTGGGGGGGGGGGGGGGGGTTCTGGAAGTATCAGGTTGGCCTCTGCGGTGTAGAGTGAAGTGACCTCAGTCTGGTGGAGCTGCAATGGGCTGCCAGTCACGTGCGGATCGAAGGTGCCCCCATCCCCCCCCCACAAAGAGGCAGGCAGGCAGCCACCGGCTAGCTCATCCTGGCTGAAAACGGGGCTTGATGACAGGGGTGAGAGAAACCGTGGGCTCCAGTGGTGTACAGGGGCTCTCATGACTTGCACGTGGGCTCGCTAATAAAGTCTCTGTGGTGTAGTAGGGTGAATAAACGGTTTTTGTCTCATTTGCTATATACTTACAGGCCAATTCAGGTATGTGCTTAAATTGTGGCTCACAGCAAACAAATAACCAATAACGCGGCAGCCTTTCCTGTTTGCCCCTGCTAGAATAAAATAGAATAGAATTAGAACAGAACAATCACTTTATTGTCGCTTTGAATGTACACTAATCGCCACACATTAAAATGAAATTTCGTTGCCTACAGCTCTCAAAGGCTGCAGTGTTCTTTGAGGATAGCTCAGGGGTGAAATCCAACAGGTTCTGGAGAACCGGTAGTGGAAATTTTGAGCAGTTCGGAGAATCGGCAAATACCACCTCTGGCTGGCCCCAGAGTGGGGTGGGAATGGAGATTTTGCAATATCCTTCCTCCACAAGTAGAGAGGGAATGGGGATTTTGCAGTATCCTTCCCCTGCCAGGACCACCAAGCCACACCACGCCCACCAAGTCACGCCCACTGAGCCGTACTAAAAATATTTGGATTTCACCACTGGGATAGCTTATTTGAGTAGAAGGGAGTGGGGAGATCTAAACAGTTTCCTTTTGATAAGCACGTTTAACTTATTTCCACATTTTTGTAGGCCTCGTATGAATAAAAGAGGCAATAATTCAGACTATAGCCCTGCTGGCAATTGCTGTTAACATTTTTTTTTAACTATACAGTTTAGGTTGTCTTCAGCCTCCCAACTTACTTTCACTTCAGATTTGTTTGCAAGATCTTAAAAAAACCCTTATAATTCATGAGGCAGACAAAAAACTCCATGCTTTGTCTATGATTTTCTGAAAACTGATGAAATAATAATATCTATTTCGGTGTATGGAGTAATCACCGGGCATCTAGCTAGTAACCTAGCTGAACCACTAGCTCAGGGGTGTCAAAGGCCTGGGGGACGAATCCAGCCTGCAGGGTGCTTAGATCCAGCCCACGAGGCCGCCCTGGAAACAGCAAAGGACTGGCCCATGGTGCCTCTGCCAGTGAAAATGGAGCTCCATTTTCGCTGGCAGAGGGTTGCAGGAGGCCATTGCAGCCAAAAATGGAGCTTGCGAGGGCTGCGTGTTTTCGCTGGCAGAGGATTGCAAGTGGCCATCCCAGCTGAAAACAGCTCTGGAACCCGTTTTCGCTGGCAGAGCACTAAGGCCACCACAGGCGCCCCTGACACAAGTGACGTTGAGCTGGACACACCCACCCCAGTCATACCCACTCCGCCCCCCCCCCAGGTCAAACACAACCCTGATGCAGCCCTCAATGAAATCGAGTTTGATACCCCTGCTCTAGCCTGTAGGAATTTGTTTAATTCCCCACTTTGAATCTCTCTATTCTAATATAGGTAGTTCTAGACTTAATGGTAAGTTGTGGTGATCATCCAGCAAGGTGCCCACATGCCTGTTTTGCTTAATGACTGCAATCCCTGCTCTCCCATTGTCATTAAGTGACTGCATGGGTCATGCAATCCGCGCATGGAGTGATTCAGGTAGGGAAAGGCCCTGGCAGTCCTAGCGCATACCCAAGCCCACATTGCAGCACCTCCCTAGCTCACATGTGGCTTCTCAGGGCCTCTCCCACCCCCGGAGATATCACCTACTCCACTTCCCACCCTGAGTCCCACACACTCCTCCCCAGACCCTCAGCCCAGCTTAGTCCACTTACCTTTTCTATAGATCTCCTTGGGGAAGCAGCCAGTATACTCTATACGGAAGCCGAGGGACAGATCAGCTAGTTTTCTTTGAAGCTGATCTACCAAGCAGCCTTCCTAAACAGAAGCCATGTGGTGCTGTACTGAAAGTGGGTACCATTTTGGGAACAGCCACAGGGAATTGTGGCTGCTCCAAAATGGAGCCCACTTCTGGAATGGTGCCATGTAGCCTCAGTACTTTATTGGAAGCAGATGGGTGGATGTCTGTCTGTATTATGCTAATCACTAGTCTCACTATACAGTATTTTGGTTTACTATATCTCTGTATATAGGCTATATTTATGTCCTACTATAATATATCTAAATACATTAAAGGAGAAAAGTACTGGAATATTTAAAGTTTTAAGAATGCTGGATAGGGTGGTTGTTGTTGTTGTTGTTGTTATTATTATTTTATTGCTTTCAAGTCACTCATTGTGACTACCAGGATGAGACTGCAGTTTTCTTGGCAATATTTTAGAAGTGTTTTAGCATTGTCTTCTTTCTAGGGCTGATTGAAACTGACTGGCCCCAAATTATCAATCTCCATTTTCTAGTCTGATGCTTTAACGCTAGTTCTCTTCAATATCTCAAAAGATTTTACATAGAACATGGGTGTCAAACTCGCTGCATCACATTGCCGTCATGGATGTTTCATGACATTTTTCCCATTTGCGGAGCTGGGGTCGGTGTGGCCTACACATACATTCGGCCTGTAGGCCACCAGTTTGACACCCTTGACATAGAACATTAAGGCCTGTTATCCTTGGTTCCAGGTAACAGAACACTGAAAAATATAGATAAAATGCAGGTTCTTGAGTGGTAGAAAAAAGACTTGTAAATTTGAAACAATTTAGAATGGAACAAACTACACCACAAGAACTGTCTTTCCTTTCACTAATATAAATGAAGGCATCCACTTGTTTAAAATATTTTAATTTGGATTCTAGCACTGAGCAAGTGATTGGATTCATGGGTTTAATAGATACCTTCTATTATAAAGCCAGGATTAATAGTTTATTTAGCAGTGAAGATATATTGAAAATTTATATTGGACCAGACAATTGCATTTTTTGCATCAGCATAGGATCATTTATGCCTGAATATTTTTCAATATTCTGTATATTAATCTAAACTGAAATACACCCTTAGGAATCTGGTAGCTGTGAGAAATATAAAACAAATCTGGTAGGCTATAGTTTTTAAAAAATATAAATAGCTTTCTTTGATTGTCTATTGCTCCCAGGATTTTTTGTTTTCCAAAGCTGATGCCTAGTGCCAAAGAGTTCACAAGTTTCTTTTGAAGCTGGAACTCTACTTATTTCATGATTAATGCAATAGAAAACAAATCTCACCTTGCTGTTTATTTTGAAGATACAAAATTTGAAGTACCGGTAGTTTCTCAAGATAATCTAAAAGCCCTGTTTAATCATAGATGTCTTCAAGGGAATAAATGACAACATGTACACCATGATGTCAACAAGTAAATACATTGGATCTCATAACACATCTCATTTGTATAATATGACATGTATTTCATTTTGACATAATTGTGGCTTATTATATAGCTGCCTTTGGCTTAAATTGTTTGTTGTAAAGGAGTCTTCTTTATGCTGCAGATGTAATTAGAAATTAAGTCATGTGTAATTTTAGCTTCTTCATTGTCAACTTTCATTTTATCCCCAGAGGAATCGCAACATTATTCTTTAAGTGCTTATGGGAATAAATATAATTAGAACTTTGGGATTACTTTTATTATCCTATCTGGAGAATAACTAAATTTATAATACTCATTTTTTAAAAGGTAATAGGCATCATGCACTTTCTTTAAAAATAGTCTAGGACCTCTTGTACTGACCTTGGAAGAATGGAAGGCTGAGTCAACCTTGAGCCTGTCAGGATTGAACTCATAGCTGTGGTCAGAGTTAGTCTGCAGTACTGCATTCTAAACACTGGGCCACCAGTAGAGCTTTCTCTGGAAGAAGAGTGGATTTTTCAATTCACCAATCACCCTCCATGTCACTACTTGTTCTAGATGGTCAGGTTTTTTTCAGGAAGGAGTAAGGGATAAAAAAAACCTTTACTCTTTTCATAGCTGATATATATTTTTACATACCATATATGTTAAAGACAGACTTTACTGTCTTTAATAATTTCTTTCATAGTATAATATTGAATATACCCAAAATACATAAATAATATCAGTGATGTATATAGTACACACCTTGGAATCCAACTGTGTTCAATACATGTGCCAAACCCCTTATTTACAGGGATAGGGCAACATTACTTATTCACTTGAGAACATGGCAATTAGAATGCTAGATGGATAAATTAATGTTCTGCAAAATAGACCGGTAATTTCTAATTTTTTATTTCTAGAAGAATAGGAAAGGAGATTCAACTGCCGTTCTGCTAATATGTGCTGGGAGAAATTACAGTATTGCAATATAGCAGAGCTAAGAATTGAATAATTCTTTTCAATTATTCAGATATATATTGTTTCCAAATTAGGCTTGTATATGATTGTTTGGCTCACCCATTGCTTTACACCGCCACAAGGTCCAATTGGTTTTGTATTAATGTAATAAATTGTGATTTATTCAGAAAACCAAGTCTAAACAAAACATGGTGTAATGTGATATGTAAACTCTCTCTGCAGAATATTTTTAGCATGCCACATTTTACTTCCAAACCCTGATGCTATCAACTCTTGATTTGGGAATCAGAAGTTCTAATTTCATGCCTTTCTTTGCTAAATATAGTCAAGACTGTGATCAAGCTTTTATTAAAAGAGTATTTTTTTAAAAAAGGGCATGTAACCATGTGCAGCCTTTTCATGACAAAGTTTTGAAAAGTACAATATGCAGTATTATGCATGGAGGTTATTAAACAGGTTCTAATGAGAGAAAAATTATTCTGATAATCTTTTTAAATATAGCAGTAATTCTGCTATGACACTGTTGGTTTATATTCTAGATCAAAGTACTTCAGGACATGTTCAACAGGAGAACATTTCACTATAGAGGTAAGTAAAGATTTTAAGTACCACTATAGTCATATTATGAAACTAGCACGATTTTTTTCTTATTGCATATTTGCTGGCTGAAACATTATGCAATAAATAATTTTGAGCAGTTAAAATTATTTGTTGCTAATTTCAATCACATCAATTTGGAACAGTCTGTTCTTAACAATGACAATCTAATTAAAATCACTATATGCTATGTTTTATGTTCATTAAAATGCAAAGAAGACATAAAATACTGTAATCTTGGGATAAAATAAATCTAATAACATTCATGCAGTTATGAATTGTGTACATTCCATTACGTGACTGGATAAAAGGGATGGAAGGTGGTGACAAGTTACCAGCTTCTTTGACTTCTTTGGTTCCTTAACATTTGTGTCCTACTTTTGCTCGTTTTGGTACCCTTTCCTGACATAAACCGCATTTTCCTAGGATTGCCCTAGGAATTATTGCATAAAATTTTCCAAAGCTGCAAAAGTCAAACATTAAATAAGTTAAGAAATGGCAGAAGAAAATCTGTGGCTTCCAGTTACCAGAAGACTTTCAAACATCAAAAGATCAGTGAACTATTGCACATATGTGATTGTAAATTGCTGCTAAGCAGACAAAATCCTTCTCTCACCAATATTTTTGTTTTTCCAGAAATTAATTTGCTGCAGAAATTAGAAAATATCTCAAACAATATTAAAGGAATACCATTTAAAATAATTCAGATAAAGTTAATTTGTTTGATGACCATCTAGTTTTTGTTAATTCCAGTCTTAGCCCATTTAATTTTCTTAAGAATGTTGGTGATTTGAATTGAAAACAATCGTCTATCAATATAGAAAAAAATTACAATATATTACAAAGCTTATCAGGCATAAAATTGACATAAAATACCTCAGTTATTTGAAAGTAATTGTATCTAAAATGTTAAAGAGGCTTTTAAAAATTTACACTTATTGGATATATTAAAAATATTATTCAAAGGTTAATTCCTGGAAATTGTTAAAGCTATCTTGTTTAGGGAAGTTAATCAAAATCTCTACCGTGTATATTTTTTATTTCTGTTTATATTTCTGTTTATTATTTTTTATTTCAGTGCCTTCGTCTGGTTATTTATAAAGTAGTTATATGGCAGAAAATTAATAAATAACTATAGACATGGGGGAAAGGCATGAGTTGAGACTAAAATTAGGTACAGCAATGAAAATAAAGAACAAAATATTCACAATTTACAACAATATAATATGTGATAAGATTAAATATTTATATTTATAACATCAGAATATTTTACAGATTTAAATTTGATTTAAATATTATGTTCTATTATAGTTTTATAGCTGTTCAAAAAAGCTAAAAGTTCAAACTCTTTTTTTGTGTATCATAGCATTTCATCCCCAAATGGATCAGAAAAAAAAGATTTGAATTTCTAATACTTATGAGATTTGGTCAAAATATCTACATGTACTTTATAGGATTTGAAGACAGTTTAAAATATTTAAATCAAATTTCTAAACTGTTTTTGGATTTCTATACGGGCAAAACCAAATGTAAACAAATATCAGCTAAAATTAGGAGACATTAATTAAAGTTGCTACCTTAAGAAAGCTGTGTTCACTAGAACCAGACATAAACCCAAGGATTTGGCAAAGCTGTACCTAAATTAGATCTTATGTATATCAGTGGTAGGTTCATCCTGGTTTGGCTGAGCCGGTAGCGGTGACGATATGACGTCACTGAACCGGTTCTCTTTGTTCGGGATCTGGGCCCCCCAGCCCTCCCCCCGCGTTATTCTTACCTTTTATTTGGCTCCGCCCCCAATCTATTCGCTGCCTCCCAAGTCCCAGCTGATCGGTTAAAAGGAAAAAAACTGTTTAAACTCTTGCCGCGGGGCTTCAAAGGGCCGCTCTACAGCTGATCAGTGTTAAAAGGCAGTGTGGTGGTAGCTCAGTGCGCTCCAAAAACAAATAGGTAGATCGGTGTCTCCAAAAACAAATGGGTAGACGGGGGCCTTCAAAAATAAATGGGTAGACAGGAATGCTCCAAGAACAAATGGGTAGACCGGTACAGCTCTGCAAGCAGTTAAAAGCATGGTTGACCAGTACCTCTACTAAATCCTAAAGAATTGTCACATGACCATCAAACCACACCCACAAAATAAGCCACACCCACAGAACCAGTAGTAAAAATATTTAGAACCCACCCCTGATGTACATACAACATATGGTGGTTTTATATAAAAATTCAAAGGTTTTGGCTAATAGTTCGTATTCAAATAAGGAAAATAAGCAAAAGATTGTCCTAGATCAGGGGTGTCAAACTCAAGGCCCAGGGGCCAGATCCGTCCTGCGTGGTGCTTAGATCTGGCCTGCAGTGCCGCCCTGGGACTGGCCCGCAGTGCCTCTGCCAGCGAAAACAGCTTGGGAGGGCTGCATGTTGCCCTCCCAAGCTCCGTTTTCGCTGGCAGAGGGTTGCAGGAGACCGTTGCAGCCAAAAACAGAGCTCAGGAGATTGTTTTCACTGGCAGAGCACTCGGGCTACCACAGGCGCCCTGACATGAATGACGTCGAGCTGGCCATGCCCAGCCCAGCCCTTCAAGGTCAAACAACTCTGATGCGGCCCTCAATGAAATCGAGTTTGACACCCCTGTCTTAGATCCTAGGTTAGTCCTTATCTTTATTTAATGAAACAAATGAAAATTCTTTGTTATAATTTTATTATCTGTACACAAAGTGGAATAAATTTATATACTCCTAATACAAATACTAATGCATAGTCAGATATTTATTAATTTAAAGGTAAAACTGAGTAATATATTTTTCTCCATTGTTTACTACTATATCTAAATTATATATAATATATATTAACAAAATTATATATTTGTACCATGTACTTTAAAATGATAATTTACAGTTTTATTTTAAAAAAAATAGCTGCTAAGCTTTACTACACATGACAGTTAATTTGTCTGAAGTAGATATGTATTTGGTATTTCACAAAACACATTACTTATGCTTGATTAATTGAAATATTGTATCTATTTTCAGTTTGAAAACCTAGTGGAAAGTGATGAAGTAAGTTCTTCATACTGACCTTATTAAGTTCAGTAGATGTATTATATATGCAAATTAGATTACAAGATATTTGAAATTAGAGCAACTAAAAGTGTAGTGAATTGGAAAACTGTTTAGAAGAGGTGGCAGTTAAGATTTATTTAATTCATAGAATTAATATGTATTGCACTACTACCTTTAGTTTCTGGCATCTGTGCAGAATGATGAGGAAATGCTTTAATAATAATCACAATTCTGTGTTATGTAAATTATGTTCTTTTAAGATAAATTATATAATGTTCATAGTGTTACGTAATAATCTTTTGGGAGAAACTTAGCTCTCTGACCAGGGAAAATAATAATGTTGGCTTTTTCAAAAGGATGCTAATAGAGATCCAAACCTTTTATACACCTCAGTGTATACATATATATAGATACTAGGAGAGGATTCAATTTTAGAAGCCTTCTATATGGGCTTTTTCCCACTCGCTTGCTGAAAATGCCTCTGACATACTTTGAAGAAAGATTTCGTAAGCACCCTTAATATAAATTAATCATAAGATACATGTATAATATACTTAATATAGGTATAGATATTCTATAAGACATTAGCACAGTGTCCAAGATTTTCTTTGTAAAGCAGATCTTTATTTTTTCAATAATAAATCCTCTCATTTGGTAAAGGAAGATAAATTTCATATCTTGTTTATGATTTTTCTCATCCTGTAAGAAGCCCTAACAGCTGTCTTTATAGCTGAGAAGATCTGAGTGAAATGTGAATATCCAGTTTCTCACTAATCATGAGAAACCAGCCCTGTGATTAAGCAGATTTGCTTCTGTGGCATTTAATGTAACCCTAAGAAGCAAAACAATTCAGAGTCTTAAGATATAATCTTGAAATAAAATAAAAATAACACATCTGTTGATCAACTGATAAGCCCATTAAAGAATTGATATTTGCTTTGAAATGTACATACCTTAGATTTGCTGCTCAATCTGATTTTAAAATTCAGACAGTTCCAGTGCAGGGAAGAATCGAAGAATTTAGATATTGCCTGAAAATATATCAATAGGTGTTTTTCTAAATATTTTAATTTGACAATTTTATAGTGATTTGATATTTTAAAAGATTGAGGGATTTAAAGTCATATATTTCAGATCTATTTTGAAAGTAACTTGATAATTAGGTTCATTTTTAAAAAGCACTTTTTTTTAAACAGGGTGAAAGTCCAGGAAGCAACCAAAGGTATGAGTTTATATTTACAGTATATATTATTTTGCTTTCCTTTCTCTCTCTCTCTCTCTTATATGCTCCTTGCTTCATTCTTTTTAATCATCTACTTTTTCAATTTAATTCATTTCAGCAAATTGACATTTTTGAAATTGAAAATGCTGATTTGATTGTAATGTTGTTAGTTCTTTTAGGAAGATATATTTCATAGAAAGTTATTTTTAATCACTGGAATATCATTTGTAAAACACATTCAACTAGCTATGGTCCTAGAAAGTTTCTTCTTCATGGGTCTGCAGAAAAGCATAAGATGTTTATCTCTGACTAATAGGGAAGACTTGCTGACTTTAACAGAAAATGTCTAATAGTGGAATTCTTGATATTATGATAAACTAAAGCTAAGTATGAAATATTGGATTTCAGAAAAGTAGATTAAGCTAGCGATTTTTTCCATAAGAACATTAATAACTCTTCATTAAAGTAGACTGAGGTATGCAGTCCTTGTCTTAATGCTCTTCAACATATTCATTAATGATTTGCATGAAGAGGTGGAGAACACTTATCAGTCATACAAAAGGTCACAATGTGTTTTATCTCAAAAGAAGACTGATTCCCACTGAATGTTTGGGACAACTTGCTAACGAGAAATTCAATTCAGTTGTGGAACTAATTACTAAGGAAGATGGTAAATACAGATGTGCAACATAGAGCAATTCAACTGTGACACCTTTTCTTTTGAAACATCATGTTTTTTCTCCTTGACAAGACTGACCAAACATTCTGGAGTTGGTTTATGCATATTGTCCAGAACTGATAGTGATTTGTGATGCTGGACATGATCTAATCCCAAACTTTCCATTTTGGTTTGTGGTGAATTCCCCTCATTGGATGAGTTAATGGGATTGCTCAGCCCTCTGTTAAAATACTTTAATTTAGAGTCCCACAGTAAGAAGGGTGGTGAATTGATGGATGGATCACAGTAAATTTAGTAAAAAAAATCACAAAAAAGAATTGCACTATATAAAAGCAATTGTATGCTATATGTTTTTTAAAATATTTAAAATGCTAACTACTTGTGAAGCCTCTTCTGTTTCAGTATAATTTGACTAATAAATAAAACTGAAATATAAGCAAAAATATATGCAAAACTTCACTTCTCTATTGGATGTGAGGTTGAATTTGGCTCTTGTTGGGATTTTGGTTTTTTTTTTTAATTGACTGCAGCAATAGCACTTAGACTTATATACTGCATCACAATGCTTCACAGCCCTCTCTAAGCAGTTTACAGAGTCAGCATATTGCCCCCAACAATCTGGGTCCTCATTTTCCCGACCTCACAGGGATGGAAGGCTGAGTCAACCTTGATCCAGTGAGAATCGAACTGCTGGCAGTCAGAAGAATTAGCCTGCAATGCTGCATTTTAAGCACTGCACCACCATGGCTCCTATAATGACTACTTATCTCAGTGCTCAGAAATGACACCTCAGTACATATTTGTCTGCGACAATTTCTTAGCCTTCTCATTCTTAAACATTGAAACTGACATTCCAACTCTAAAGAGATCAGAATGACAGGCGTTGTACGCTTTCTTCTTTTTCTTCAGACCTCTGACAGAAGAAGAAATTTCTGCTCTTCAAGAAAGACAGTATAATTCCATTGCTGATAAACAGAGAACTTTAGATGACAAGCTTCAATCAGAGGTAAGCATAGTAACTCTTTGTGCTTGGACAAATAATTTGTATTGCATACAAATAATGTTTTTTCATAATTGGCTAATAGCAGATGGAAACTTTGTGACTGAAGCATCCAATACTGGATACTGTAATATTGAAATTAAAGGGACTGAATGAGGAGGAAAAAAATACCAATCAGAAATGTTGTCATGAATGAAAGTAAATTTATAGGGAAATGGTTTAGATAAATGTTACTAAAATTTAGTATAAAAGGAGCAGCTAGGTATTAGCTTGGAGTGCTAGATAAATGTTGGCACAAAGAAGGACAAAATATTTGTGCAGTCATTTCTCATTCAAAGGCCAGTAGACAAAATCATTCTAAGCTTCCCAAAATTCTGATGGTTATGGTTTGGTTCCTGAGTATTTTGTGTGACCCTCTCCTCATGAACCATTTGATCTGCATTGAAAGCTTCAAACCTTGGACCCAGATTTACAGTCAGTGCTTTATGAAGTCTGGAATAATTGTTTAAATTGGGTAGTATCTTCAAATAGCAGCATTGTATTTTTTTTCTGTGAAGAGAAACATTAGAAAGGTTGTGAAGCTGTTTTCCTATGGAGATATATCAGGTACCCGCCTTAATATTGTTTTCCCATTTCCCATTTCAGGTAAATACCTATCAGTACATTTCATTTTTATCAAATACTTTATTGATTATTGCTATTTTATTGTTTGCTTTAAGCTACTATAATGTATCCAGAAATTTTTTAGTTAATGGGTAATTTAGAAATATATTAAGAAAACAGGAGAGCATAGTAATAGCATATGCAACCATGAAAAAGTATATGTCCATTTCAGTACCACTCTGAAAGATAGAAATAAGATCAATAATTAGTGGTATATAGTTTATTATAAAATTGCTTGGCATGGGGAAACAATTAATAGAAGACCTTCTGCTGCTATTCTGCTTTACAGTAATAATACTATAAACACAGGGGGAAATGCAAAAATTTGTCCTGGTAGTTGAAATACTGAAAATGTGTTATGTAACAAAAATATTTCTCATTATTTGTCTTGTACATGCTGTATAATTTAATCTGGTATGATTTCTTCCCATATGTTGCAGTTAGAACTCTACATCTATGAATGTAGATAGAAGCATAAAAATGTGTCTAAATAGATAACTCCAACAATAAATAACTGTGCTTTCTGTTGATATCATGCATGTGAAGGCACTCAAGTTTGAAAATAGTTGCCTCAGGTTCAGAGCAACCGTTTCAATTTAAACCAAGCAACTGTTGTTTCCTTCATGGATAAATGTTTGTTGCTGCCTGAATAGGGGCTCAAATCTCTGTTACTTTTAGAATGGAAGTAATTATTGCTTCATATCAGTATTGAAGGACAATTTTTGGTCTTCTCCTTTGTCTTACATAATACCATTAAACAAAATGCTTTAGATGTCTGCCTCACAGCTCACATAAATAGGTGTAATAGAAAAAGGCATTACTAACTAAACTAAAAAAAATTAAAGGAATTTTAAAATAGCATGCATAGTACAATTAAAAGTTGTGTTAAATATGGAAATACTTTATTTTAAAATCTTGGTATATTTTATGTTTCAGATTTTTTTATAAGTACCTTTACTTTAAATTCAATGCACTTAATTTCATAGGAGAGATAGCTAGGTTTTCTTTTGTTAACCATTATTATTTTGTTCATATACAGTTAGCCATACAAGAGGAGAAGTTAAGAATAGAAGAGGAGACTTTATATGCTGTGCAGCGTGAAAAAGCCAGGGCAGCAAAACAAAGAAAGTTCTTGGAGGTGAGGGGAAAAGACCCCAAAATATATGTATTAGAGTGTCTATTTATATCTTCCTCTTAAGTTTCATGTGCTTTTTAAAACAACATTCAGCATTAACACTGGTTTGCAGCACTTTCTGTTTTTTTTCTAGTCTCTCACTAGATACTGGCTGTAATACTAAGCCAAATTTTTTAGAATTATAGTTCATACTATGTAGACAAGTTGCTAATGCTCTCTGATTGCAGTTTTTTCTTTTGGCCAATAAAAATTGCTGAACAGACAAAGGAGTCCTATCCATGGTTTGTCTGATATAACATGTATGCCAAGATCCTTGCCTTCTTCCTATTTTAAAGTCCAGCATTTATTGGCTTTAACTTGTGGATAAATTATAATATTTCAGTATCTATATTTGCACATAAAGCTCTTCTGCAGAATTGTTAATTCGCAAAAATAGGCTGAAATGTTTAATTCTACATTAGCAGTTTAGTGTAAAATCTTACAATTTATGATGAATGTACTTTTATTATGATTATGATCATGCTTTATCACTTGTTGTATGTACACTGAGAATTTATGCACCAGAAACAAATTCTTTGTGTGTCCTATCACACTTGACCAATATTCTGTTCTAAATACAGTACTTGGGCTTATTAGAAATTGTTGACTGGCAATAAAGGGGACGGGGCATTTTGCCAAAAGAAAAGTAAAGAACTTGAATACTAAGGATGCAGAGGGAAATTATTGAAAGCAAGGAAAGAAATATAATATAATCCATAAAATATATCTGAAAACCAACAGAAAATAGTCATTGACATTTCATATTACAGGATACATAGAATGAGATCTCAATTAGTTATGAAATTTATAGAAAACTGTCTCTAATATTAATATATTTCAGCTATATTTCCCTCAGAGTGTTGTGTGGAATAACCGTGTATGTTCTTACTTCTCTTTGGAATATGAATAGAATCATTGTCATTACAATCATCCATAAATAAATATTAGTTTTGATTCTTAAACAATTTGTAACTTGATGTCTTTCCATTCTGTTGTTTTCACTAGTATTTTTTTATGCTCAGCCTTTCTTAGTTTCATTTTACCTGTTTGCTGTTTTTTGCTCCTTCTTTGAAATAGGCTTCTAGCACAAATGTCAAAATTGAGGTCTTTACACAATACAAAGTTATAAACTCTCATAAAATGTCTGTTCTCACATTTTAAAACTGCTTCTTCAGTAATCAATGCACGAGCAAATGAGGAGCTTGAGTTCTTGTATCTCCCTCAGAGAGATTTTCTGGCTCATTAACCAATTACCTAACAAGGCTAATATTATTTAACTCTCCTACAAAACAACATTAACTTTAGCTGATTTTAAAAGTCCTGCAAGGCTGTTACAAATTGATAGCTACAAGAAAGTAACAAATTGGAATTTTCCTCTCAAGCCAGGTATATCACGGGAAGAGAGATTTTTAGAAATCTTTGTTTGCCCAGGTTTCAACAGATCTGTGGAGATTTGTTTGTTTGTTTGTTTATTGAAAAGGACTCCAAATCAAAGGTGAGTGGAACACCAGGGCCATGTAAGAATATAATATGAGGCTGAACTTGAAAAGCATCCAGAAGCACCAATTGGTTCAAAATACAGCAGTTCTCATGGTTTTGTGCAGACCCAGGTGTGCACACGTATCACCTCTTCTGTGGGAGCTGCATTGGCTGCCGATTTGCTTCCGGGTCCAATTCAAGGGCTGATTGTCACCTTTAAATCCCTACATGGCTTGGGACCAGTTTATCTGAAGGACTGTTTCCCAATGCATCAGAGCAGGGAGGTAAGGAATGTTGCTGGTCCCCTCTCCTAAAGAGGTACAGCTGGTGGGGCCCAGAAGGAGGACCTTCTTGGTAGTAGTTCCTCCCTTTGGAACATCATCCCTGCAGATATTAGACTTGCCTCTACTTTCACAAGTCCCTGAAGACCTGGTTCTGCCAACGTGCCTGGAGATCCCAGAGTAGTGTGGACCCCATCCAGTGGCTCATTTGTTGTGGCCAGGAGGGTCGGGAGTTGTTGTTTTTACTGTTTTTACTTTTTTTATATGGTTTTTTTTATTGTTTGTAACCTGCCCAAAGTCACTGAGAGTGAGTGTTCAGCCATATAAATTGTCTAAATAAATAAATATCAAATAAATAATATATTTTGCCTGTGCATTATACTTGTTTAGGACACCAAAAACACATTAAGATCATAGAAATAGTAGCATGCAGGCTAGTGGTCCCAAAAAAATCAAGATTGAAATTATATATTTGCTATGTGAAAGGCTACAGAATAGGTAACAATGGAGGGTGCACATGTATGTAAAAAACATACTGTGCTTAGGTATCTGAAATAGCTTGTTGGATTGTGCCCTATAGAAAAAAGTGAGAGATGCCATTGTTTCAAAGATTCCTTTACTGAAGATACTAACAGCCCAGTCCTAAAAGTGAATTGGATGATTACTTGCTACTAAGCTGCTTTAACGTATAATTTATTTAGAGAAATGTTGTGTTTAAATGCCCAAATACATTTTTTCCAAGTAAAGGAAATGTCTTAATATTCTTTTTTCTACATTTTCAAAAGCAGGTATTTATTTTGCCCTCACCATATTAATATTATCTTTTCAAGAATGTGTTGATCTATGATCTCAGCATCAGGCTAACTATCTTGGATTTAATTCTCTAATTTTTAATTTGTTACAAGGTAGAATTTTCAGAGATATCATGAAAATTGTTTTTGTTCATTTAAAAGCAAAATTAAAATAATGGATATTTTTATCACACTCTCATATTCGAATTGTCTGATCTGATAATTTTTGACAGTCTATATTACTTTTATTTACATAATATAAATAGATTCCAATGCTAATGAGAAACAATATATCAGACATGGAGTGCAAACAGATTTATGTTATTTTGATGAGTACTGATCCTAGAAATTGATATGCTATGATAATATTGATTATGCTGTTAACTTGGAGGATCTTATCATTAAGTGGCTTTTTCTTTTTCCTTATTTTTGTTAGCAACAAAAGTTGCAGAGAACAACTCAGAAAGCAAACCATGGAGATGCCCAAAGGTAAGAAGAACAACTAATGTTGAGGAATTTTAAATACTGTAAGCAGTATAGTTGGAAACTATTTAAAATTTGAATTTCAAATAGTAGAATTGTATACCTTACATGTTTAATAGAAAATATAGAAAAAAGGCAAGAATAAAGCAAAAGCTAATGCCCTCTTTTTTAGAAGTCAAATTATACTAGATAAAGTTTTCAGTTCTACTTACGATCATCCATAAATGAATTTTTGGCAGCCACCTATGCAGCATACTTTTCTTCAAATTAAAACAAAATTAATACATTTTGTCAGCATAGTACCCGTTTTCATTTCCAAAATATTTCTCTGAACGTAGGCCTACTTGTTATAACTTCTTTTTACAGTTCTATGGTAGAAGAAGACTTGGATTCTTATTTGAGAAATGTAAAACTGCCATATGAAGCTTTCCGCACAAGTAGTAAGTTTCCTATGTATATATTTTCTACAATTTCTCCCTGTTTGTAATTTGCTATTTTTATCCACATGTCAGTGAACATAAAACAGCTTATGATGTCGTATATGACTATGAATTGCAACCATTCAATTCCTTTCGAAGCAAGCAATGTCTCCTTACTTCTGAAAGACTTCCCTTTCAGTACTTTCCTTATTTAGGAGGCTTTATATATATGTTTGTTTGACAAAGGATAAATGTTGGAGAGATATGTTTGCAGATTCCCATGTAGTTCCTATATCATTTCTGAAAAGGTTACCTACCCCCATGATATAGAAGAGCAAGAGGTAGTTTGTCAGATTGAAGAGAGGACTACTCCTATAATCGCTACATTCTCATGAGCAGTTCAAGTCCAGACCCCTCTTGATTTCCATTAACTCTTGTTTAGCACCAATTTAGTGCTGACCATTAGTTGACTAAGATTCTGAGCCATGGTGGCGCAGTGGTTAGAATGCAGTATTGATTCAGCCAGAAGTTTGATCCTGACCAGCTCAAGGTTGACTCAGCCTTCCACCCTTCCAGGATTGGTAAAATGAGGACCCAGATTGTTGGGGGCAATATGCTGATTTTGTAAAATGCTTAGAGAGCTATAAAGTGGTATTTAAATCTAAGTGCTAAGTGCTATAGAAATGAGCAATAAATCAGGTGAATTAGAACTTAATGTGTGATCCTGATTCTTTGCACCCAACATATACATATTTAATGTTTGGAAACTATAGGGAGTAAAGATTGTTTTCCTTTATCAGAAGTTCCTGTGAAACCAAGTTTCATTTTCAGGAACTCCAGTCCATTAGTTGACTAAATATTAATATTACTAAAATATTCATTTGACTATTTATTATGATTGAAAAAATTGAAAAATAATTTTGTAAATTAATTCATTTTATTAAAACAGGCTTCGGCTCAACCCTGCCAAGACCGAGTGGCTATGGTACTGGCATCCCAGTCCGATCTAGAGGTTCCATCTTTGTCTATAGGGGGTGAGGTGTTACCCCCGGTAGACAGGGCACGCAACTTGGGTGTCCTCCTGGATTCACAGTTGAGTTTAGAAGATCATATAACGGCCGTGACCAGGGGGGCGTTTGCCCAGGTTCTCCTGGTGTGCCAGTTGCACCCTTATTTGGACCGGGATGCCCTATGCAGTTACTCATGCGCTAGTCACCTCCCGTATTGACTACTGCAACGCTCTCTAACTAGGGCTGCCCTTGAGGACCATCCGGAGACTTCAGCTGGTACAGAATGCAGCCGCGCGGGTCGTGATGGGTGGTTCCCGATACGCCCATGTTACACCTCTCCTGCGTGACTTGCATTGGTTGCCGGTTGCCCTCCGGGTGAGATTCAAGGTGCTGGTGATGACTATAAAGCCCTTCTTGGCTTAGGCCCAGGATATTTGTCGGACCGTCTGCAACCAGCAACAGCTTCCCATCGCCCGGTGCGTTCTCACAGGGAGGGCCTACTCAGGGTGCCGTAAGCTAGAAAGTGTCGACTGGTGACCCCTAGAGGTAGAGCTTTCTCTGTGGGTGCTCCCACCCTCTGGAACCAACGTCCTCTGGGGCTCCGGTTGACCCCTGACCTCCGCACCTTAAAGACATGGTTGTTCAACCTGGACTGGGAGGGTCAGCATGTATTTTAACACGTTTTATTGGATATTTTATTGTTGTGAGCCGCCCTGAGTCTTATGGAGATAGGGCGGCATATAAAGTAAATTAAATAAATAAATAAATAAAAATCCTATTACTTTCTAAAATAAATTCTAAAAATTTGTTGAGAATTTTTCAGTGTGCAAATGAGGAATTCTTTCTCCTGTCCTTTTCTCTCTTATTTCTCTCATCTTCTGTTCAAGTACATTTAATTTTTTTTTTTATTACAGGACTTACATCAGATGCCACTGTTCTAACACCAAATACAGAGAGCAGTTGCGATTTAATGACCAAAACCAAATCTACAAGTGGAAATGATGACAGTAATTCCTTAGATTTAGAATGGGAAGATGAAGAAGGTATATGTTCTATCCTATAATAATTGTTTAATTGATCTAACGTGATCCAAAATGAATTCAACAGAGTGGACACTGTTGGGTTTTAAAAATCAAAACTCCATTATTGCTTTTGAAATTTCATAAATTGTCTAAGATTTCCAATCCAACTGAGGGAAGCATGAATAAAGAGGAAATTGAAGTAGGTAATCTTAAACTGGATTGAGGATTTGCATGTACATAAACATTGAGCAAGTAATATTAATTTTGAAATACCTGAGTTAATTCATGTAAAATTTGAGTTTTCCATTCTCTCGTGATGAACGTGCTATGGATCTTGAGAATTACAGATACTTTGAGGATAGTTGCTAGTTGTATCCTAGTAGTTCTATTATTTATAGCAGTGAAACTCATGTGGCCTGCAGACCAATGGCAATCTGCAGTCTCTCTCTGTTCATTGGTTACAGTCTTGTCTACTCAGTCCCTCAATCCTTCCTCCTTATGTTCACTACTTGGCAATTTTTCTGATGGTATATAGTTTCTGTGGTCAGATTATCCACCATCAAGTTGAATATGAATCTCCTAGTACAAGAGATGCAACATCATCCTCACTGATATGAAAGACTTAGAACTCAGAGATTCAGACAAAAGAACATTCTTGACATGGCATGGAATACAAAATAATTCAAATGGTAAATACATTTTAGTACAAAATTAAATTTTAAAAGGCCTTTAAAAATAAAGGTAAAGCAAAGCATATACAAATGTAACTATAACATTATCTTAATCATTGAGAAGCATGACTTCCCATGTTTTTAAAAACAGAAACAGAGAGGTGGTGTTTGGATGCCCTTCCCCATATTTTTAAATATTTAGTAGTCCACAATAGCAGAATATTTAAAAACACACTATAGAGGTAGCCCCCAAATTATGACCGTTTGTTCAGCAGCCATTCAGCATTAATAGCAGCACTGAACAAATGGTACCTACACCCAGTCCCTGAAATTTTGGGCATTTGGCAGCTTGCCCACACCTAGAACTGCAGGGTCCCTTCAAACCACCACCACCACCTATCTCCCTTCCTTGTGGCACTCCTTGGCAGTGATCCTGGCGATGAAGTAAAGGTCCAGGACCGTCAGCATCTCAGCTGGCCACCATTGTCTTCGAGCCTCTACTTCAGTTTAGCTATTACTGAGGACTGCTGCCTCAAGCCCCTGGTTAAGACAACAGCTGCAGAAAAATTAGGTAGGATTTTAAAAGATTATGATTTTTGTCATAGTGTTCACTCTATGAGTTTATTTTGTTAATATATTAATTTTGATTGAGTTTGTAACACTCATTTGGCCTTTTGGCTGTAAATAAAATTGATTGATTGATTGATTTTCTTAATATATTCCTCATCACAAGTTTTGTCAAAAGCTTGTTTGAAAGCTGAATTCTAAACTTGGCTATTGGTGAAGTAGATTCTATTCCATAAACATTAATGCCATGCTGATGAATTAAATGTTTGAAGTACCATATCATTTTCTGGCTGCTACACGGATTTGCCTCCCAATATTAGATATTTTGCAAAAGAAATTGTAGTTATTTGACTCAGGATGTATCTACATGAAACCTAAGAACCATGGAAAGACAACTTTTAAGGATTCAAGGGTTAGGGTTAGGATTAGGGTCAAGGATTCTATTAAAAACATTTTTTCAATGGCAGGTATAAACAGAATGATCCCTTTGAGAGAACGTTCAAAAACTGAAGAAGATATTCTCCGGGCAGCATTGAAATTTAATGGCAAGAAAACTGGAAGTAACCCAACTTCTACATCTGATGATTCTACTGGTTTGGAATGGGAGAATGACTTCGTTAGTGCAGAAATGGATGATAACGGCAACTCGGAGTATGCTGGATTTGTAAATCCCGTTTTAGAACTTTCTGCAACAGACCAAAAAACTTCTGGTGTTGATCAACAAGTGAGATAATGAAATTGGCCATTGGTACCTAGCAGAATGATTGAAGTTGGAAAACCTACAAACCTGTATTGTGCACAATCTTGTAATCATTGCTGCTGCTGCTGCAAAGCCTACTTTTACAATAAGGAAATGATACAGTGACTGCTCTTGGTGACTGAGCTCCAGAGTTCTATACAAAAGAAGGAATCTACGCTACCTTATGTCCATTAAACAATATGGTTTGCTAACAATGTGGTTTGCTATCTGAACTGAATTGTAAGTGCAATTTTTATAATCTACCTTTTAAATGTTTATACTTGAATGATTCTATTATGTATGTTTTTAGGTTTAAGCATACAGCACCCTCCATTAAATATAGCGTTACAGCTTAATGTTTTAATCAGTTGTCCTATTTCAGTATTTGGGTTTTTTTTCCCCTTTAAATATAGTGGTACCTCGGTACTTATTATGAATTGATTCTGGGAGGTTTGTTGAATACCAAAAATGTGAGTACCAAATTGATTTTTCCCATAAGGAATAATATAGTGAGTCACAAGGCAGCCAACACAGACAAGTTCTAGCTTGTGCATTGAGTACCAAATGATGAGTACCAGGACAAAATTTTCACATCAAAATGCATTGAGTACCAAATTTGATAAGCTTCAAAGCAAACGAGTACCAAAGTACTGCTATACCTTCATTAGCATAATTTTAGCAGGAAATCTGATCAGCACCTTTGTACTTGAAGCATGAAACTAGGAATAGGAATTCTGCTATGGCTTCCCAAGAAACATAGGATGCTGCCTTACATTGAGTCAGTCTATTGATCCATATAGCCCAATGTTCCAAGCATTGGCATTACTTTCCCAGTTTTCTGGTGTTTCAAGCAATTCCCAGATTTATCTGGAAATGTTGAGGACTGGACATGGTGAAAGCAAGCTTCATGTTCTGCTATCAGCTGAAGCATCCCTAACAGTTACTTTTTTTCAGTTCAATTTGTTTTGAAAATTAAATAAACTTTGGAATATATTTTTTTCTTTATTCCTTCTGATGTTTTACTGAGATTAAATTCAAGCACAATGTCTTACATTTGAAAGCATTTTATTTATAAAGCTAAAGCATTATAAATAAAATTTATCATGGCAGTAATGACCCATGTAGCTGCAGAAATTTGGAAGTATTGAAGACATCGTTCTTTCTTTTAAAACATTGGATACCAAAATGCAGAGGTTTGCATTTTTAAGGTTCCACTGTTCTTCCAAATCAAAATACTTAATTTTTAAATTGTGTAAAATTAATATTGCCTAATAATTGGTAATTTAGTGCTCTTCTGATTTGTAAAATATAGATAGCATCGATACTATCTGTGGCTGAATCAATGCAAATGTACATTCCAATCAAAGTATCTTTCTGAAGTATGTGAAACATTCCATTGTTGTCATTTAATTAAATTCAGTTTATCAGATTTAACGATAGAGTGATGACACCATTATTCAAGAATGTTACTATTATCAGTATGGTTTAATCCTCCCCAAAATCCTTACTTAATTGGTTCTAACCATTGAGACTAGAAAACTTCTCATAAAGCAGTTTTTCTGATGAGACAAAAGCTGCTTTGGAATGATGGTTACATTTGTATGATAAAGCAGACATGTCTCTGTCACAAGTATTTGATTCATAACCATTTTCAGAGTGTAGCAATACAGTACTGTAAATCAGGGAGCAGAAGTATTTACTTCCACACCTCCTTGAGTTGTTGAACTTCATTTTGTCCTACTAGTCATGCTCTAAGCTTCCTAACAAGAGTTTTCTTGCAATGCATTAACAATGAAATACCATAGACACGCATAGACAACATGATGGCTTCTAGCAGCTGCTGCTACAGTAGAAAGGAAAACCAGAACTGCAATATTGAAAATTATTTGTTTTTAAAAGTTTGTTTTCTTCAAGTCAAGCTTGACCAAAAAAACCCCACAAAAATCTTGATGGATATGAAAAAAACCAAGAGTTACTTTCTCCCACCCACCCACTTTTTTTTGCAACCCTACAGAACAGTGATGGCTAATCTTTTTGCCATCGCATGCAAGAAACGGCGGGGGGGGGGAGGGCGCACATGCATGACCACAGCCATAATTCTATGCGCCCCGCCCCCCACTCCTGGCCTAGTAGGCCCATTTTTCTCTCTCCCCAGGCACCAGAGCCTTTCTAGGAACTTGGGGAGGGCAAAAACGGCCTTAATTGGGTTCCAAGGACTGACAAAGTTAACCAGAGCTGCCAGCTGTTGAACAAAAACTGAACATCTCTTGCACCTCTGCTATCAAAGCAACAGTGGTTTCTAAAACCACTAAAATGCATACACTAATAACTACATATATTCTACTTGGTAGGCTTGTGCTTGGCATTTGTCTCTTTGCTGCTCTGTAAAACTTTATTACTGCCACATTGATTCATTAACTCTTTTTATAGATTAATTTATAGGTTATGATTCCAGATGCAGAATATTTATTGTTTACATTATTCACATCTACAGAGTTATGGGTTTGAAGAGGTCAGCGACAGTAAATAGTTATATGTTTATATGTAAAAATTTAATGTATACCAAATCATCATTTGATTTCTTTTCCTGTGCCTTTTATGTTTAAATTAAAAGACAGATTTTACCATTCATAATTCCTTACAAATTTTTTTCTTCATATATTGCATTTCTAAAGTAGAAGTTCGTTGCTAAAAAAATTGAGTTCCGTATTTTCAGTTCTTGTAACACGCTTTATAAGATATTTGTACGCTGCAGATATATATATATGGTTTGATATGATTTCTGTCACTTCATAAATGCTACAATCCTTAAAGATTTAGATTTATCAAGCTGTGAATAAATTTTTTACGCACTTCATAACTAGCCTTATATTTTTTGTCTTATTGTTCCATTATAGAGGTAGTCTGCAACTTAACAAGTTTGCTTAGTGACCGTTCAAATTTACATCAGTGAAAAAAGTGATTTATGACCCCATAGTCATGATCAAAATTCAGATCCTTGGCAACTGACACCTATTTATGATGGTTGCAGTGTCCTGGGTCATGTGATCCCCTTTAGTGACCCTCTGACAAGCAAACTCAATGGGGAAGCCAGATTCATTTAATAACCATGTTACTAACTTAACAAGTGCAGTGATTCACTTAACAACTGTGGCAAGAAAGGTAATAAAATGGACCAAAATTCACTTAACAAATATCTCGCTTAGCAACAAATTTTGTGCTCAGTTATGGTCGTAGGTCAAAGACTGTTCTTTGACAAGAGACTGTGCTCAGTTATGGTCGTAGGTCAAAGACTGTTCTTTGACAAGAGACTGTTCATTTATTACGATGCCTTTTACTGGTTGTTTTATATAATGTCCAATTATCTTTTGATTTTGAGATCTAAGTCTTTAAAATTAGTACACTGTTTAAGAAGTCCTCATCTACCGACTTTAATGGCCAAACAAGTCCATACTAAATAAGCAATCCCTCACACCATTTAGGACTTTAAATATTTTTTAAAAAATTAAATTGGTTTCCAAGTGTTAACCCCAACATTGGCCAAAATGTTTCTTAAAAGATATTTATAAAAACAAAAATATTTCACTTGTGTTCGATTTAAAACACTGAGTTATCAAATACTTTTATAAGTTAGAGACATAGAAGAAAACGTTGGGAGGAGAAAAATGGAAGCATTAAGTTCCTCGTACAAACATCAGTACAACTTGGATCTAAATACAGAGAAATAGCTGCTGCGACTGGTTGATGGAAGGAAATTTTCAAAGATACCAAAAGGTAGCAATGTTGAAACAATATTCAACTTTTATGACTGACCAGTCATCAAGTGCCCCTGAAAGATGCTAATCTATTGGCAATGCAGGTGACGATACAGATCAGGGGTGCTCAAACTACAGCCCGTGGGACAGATATGGCCCGCCGAACCCATTAATCCGGCCTGCCTGGGACCACGAGGCTGCCCCACCCACCCTTCAGCCAAGCGCAGGGCCTTATCTTTGTGAGCCCCGTGGGCTGGAACTGGAAGGTAAGACCAACATTTTTGACCTTCAGAGTGCTTCTGGAGGCCAGGGAGGTCAAAATGGGCCATGTAGAGGCCTTCTGGGGCCTTTGCACGGCCGGGAGAGTGCTGCAGGAGGCCTGGATTGGAGGAGGGGCACCCGCTTGCCCACCTGCCAGCCAGACTAGCCCAGTCATGGGTTGGATGCGGGGCCCGAGGTGGACAGGAGGGCGAATGGGCGCTCAGGGAAGAGCGCCACCCTGGGGCGCTATGTGCTCTCGGACCTCCGGCCCGTCTTTGCTAATGCAAGGCAGAAAGCTGTAAAAATCTTTGCCCACTCCAGATGTCAGATTCCCACCACCAGCACCAGTTCAGGGGTTCCTCCCCGTGCAGGGGACAGAGAAATTGAGAGAAAGAAAGACAGACAGACAGAGATAGAGTGAGAGAGACTTGTTGATTATAAACTCCTTGGAGCTGAGAAGAATTGCTGCAAAACTTGAGTTTCCTGAAGTGGACCACTAGACTCCTAAACAATTTAAAAAACAATCTAGTAAAAAAAGAAATCAACCAAAAGAGCAATATGCAAACAAAACACTCCCAGAAGCAAAACAAAGTTTAATTTTTTATTATTTATCATATTAATCAATTTGTGTGTATTGTTTAATAGACTGCTAAATTGGCCACACCCACCCAGTCACTGACAACTTAGCCACGCCCACCTAACTGGTCCACCCCCTCAACAGTCTAGGGACCATGAATTGGCCCCATTTAAAAAGTTTGAGGACCCCTGATATAGATGTACAGATATCATTTCAACTACCATAGCACACAAAGTAAAGATGACCACTGAATACACAATTGTTTTTTTTCATTGAATTTTCCAAGTTATTCATTCTCATCCATTTCTGTTGGAAATTGGGTATATGAACTGCTACTTTCACATACTGGTTTTTTTAAAAATAGTTTTTTTTCTTGTAACAGTGACGTTCTGGACAATTCAAAGCAGATGTTAAAGTAGTCTTCACATTGTCCTTCTTGTTTTTGCAATTGCATCTGGTACTCTCCAAAACAAACCATACATTTATCTGGTAGATTGACTTTATTTAGATAGGCCAGTTCAACATCATCCACAGATAACTTTCCCTTTTTGCTCAGATTCTTAATCTCAAAACCAAACTCTGAGCTGTTGAAGTGCCTGAAAAACTGAAGGGAAAACTGAACACGTGAAACCCGTGTATCTACAAAGTGAAAACGACAGATGTTCGAATCTCTTCCAAATTTCACTATGTCATCTGCTCTCAGCTGTTGTTCGTGGCAGAAGGTTAAAGCGTGGAAGACTGGTTTTTCTTCTTGTTTTGGATGATAAATAGCGATTTGCAGACAAGTCACAGTCTCTTCAGTATCTTCTGTTTCAAAATCAGACATGGCAGTACTAATTCAGAAAATCCTAAAAGAACAAAGTATATATTAAAATCATTTTAAAACCAAATTGCTTGACGCTTACTGGATCTTGGTTCATGAAGAACAAAAAAAAAAAAAAACAACCTCCCATCAAAAATGGAAGCAAACAGGTTGCAACAAAGTCATTTTGATGGGGAACATAACTATTGACAAGGTTGGAGGCTGCGAGGTTTGATTCCAGTAAACTTAAAATATGAAGAAAAAAAAAATCTTCAGATTAATTTTAATTCACTTTTTTACATTTTATTTCACTTGTTTAGGAAGAGATCCAAAGTGACCATTATTGCTTTTAAGTCCCCTATCCATCATAATTTATAGTAATTATAGTCAGTCCTGAGGAGGCACATAAAGGTAAAACCATACAGGCAGCACAAAAACTATTGAAGATATAAGTTTAATTTAAAAGCAAAAACCGAAACCATGTTTCGTTTGAGGCTTAGACCAAGCATCCTCATCCCTTACCCGTGGATATACAGGGGGCCCGGAGCCTCTATTCGCATTGCTTCTCCTCCAAAAGGGTGGGGGGGGGAAGTTACTGTAGAACTTTTACATTCTTTCCAGCCAGGCAGGCGTCCTTGCAAAACTTCTCACGTCGCTCAGCTCCGCGTTCCCAGATGGCGGAGTCTTCCCCGCCCGCTTGTCTTAACCCTGCTTGCGTTTGCACGCAGAATGGAGGCCCTTCCCTACGAGGGTTTGCACTTTCGCTTCTATTTCCGGCGGGGTAAGTGGAAGTGTGACTCCACGGGAACATCCCACGAGAGAGAGGTCAAGGCAGGCGTTCAAACCTGAAATTAAGCGGGGCTAAAGATTTCTTGGCTGATCTCCCACTCCACCCGGGTCTCGTCTGAACTTGGCAAAACGCCCAGGTAAGCAGTCAGCCTTACTTCAATCCATTGCTTCTCCCCGTCATTTTCTACAGCATTGCTGATTTTGAGTTTTCCGTGAATACATTCGCGTCAAAAGGCGTCGTCTGAAGGGGAGGGAGGGGGGCTCTACCGAATACTATGTATTAGAAATTTAAATGATCAAAGCCTATATTAACAGACCGATCGGTAGTTCAGCTTCAAAACAGGATTTGTTTTGCCTTCCTCCTGGGACTCACCTTTTCAAAGAGATCTCAAAAGGAGCAGCAGCAGCACCAATGAGAGCGTGAGAAAGGTGGGTATCTTTGGAAGAAACGGGTCCACCAGGCTCGCGGGAGGAACTGGGCGGCGAAAGGATGCCGCGCTGCAACTGCAGAAAAATATCCCCTACTGGGCTTTCCCTTTCCCGCCCAGCAAAAGGGGAGGGGGTAACGTTAGGAAGGGGATGAGTTTCAATTCTGGTGCATAACCGAAGTTCCTCCTTTCCTTTGACCGCGAAGTTAGAAAGGAGGGTGGGTGGGGCATGTGAAGCTGGTAGACAAGACTGTAAAATGTCGATAAAGAGTCACTTACAATGTGGCATAACAGAACATCTCTCCTTATCAGCAATACCGATAAGATTGGGAGTCTCTCTCTCCCTTCCCCTCCCCCCCTCTCTCTCTCTCACACACACACACACACCATTTGTAATTTTGATGTTCTTAGACCTTTTGTTATTTCTTTCTCTGGAGACCTCATTGTTTTACAAGCAAACAATATCAAAAGAGATATTTTGATATCTGAATTTAAGCAGATAATCTGTACTTCATGATTGAATTTCTCACTGGGGCTACATTTGAGCATCTCTTTTCTGAATAGGATCTAATTTCAATGGGCACAATTAAAAAACTATTATGTGATACCTCCCATACATTTGAAATGTCATAGTTCCTTTTTTAAATCAAAATTTAGCTGTATTCCGGCATCCAATGATGCCATGCTTGGAAGATGTTAAGTTTGAAATATAATTTTGATCCCTATTCTGATTTCCATTTTGAAGTTAATTCCAGTTTGAAAATTTCTATTGGAACTCATGGGATTGGTAGGATATTAGGTGTTTTCCTACTTTAAGTCACTTTATTTCAAGTTTTAAATCTTTTAAGACACTACAAGAGAAATTTGGATTGTGTAATACTGTGGAATGACAGCATATTCAGGTTTTGTTTTGTTTTCACAGTTTTGTGCAAACATATTAGCAGCGTCTAGAGCTCCTAAATTACTGTTAATACTAAAAAGTGCTTTGGACAATTTCAGATCTATAACTTTTAATAGGCAATTAATGAGCATTGCTAAAGTTGATAGTAGCACTTTGCAAATATTTTGTGGTAAGGGGCTGGAAATTCATGCTGAAAAAAAATAGTGAAGACTTAAAGCAGGTCTGTCAAACTGGCGGCCTGCGGGCTAGATGCATCATGCACAGGCCACACCCACTGCAGCTCCACAAAGGCAGAAAATGTTATGATCCAGCCCATGATGCAATCAAGTTTGACACCCTTGACTTAAAGAATATTAAGCATATTTTTACTGTCTCAAGATAAGATTAATTCAACAATTTTTCACATGTACAGGTAGTCCTTGACTTACGACCACAATGGAACCCCAAATTGCTAACCAGAATAGCTGTTAAGTGAGTTATGCCCCATTTTATGACTTTTTGTGCCACAATTATTAAGCGAATCCCTGCAGTTGTTAAATGAATCTATTGGTTGCTCAGTGAATCTGCCATTGACTTTGCTTGTCAGAAACCAGCTCGGAAAGTTACAAATGATGAACACATGATTCCAGGACCTGGACACTGCAATTGTCATAAATACATGCTGGTTGCCAAGAGCCCAAAAGTTTGATCACATGACCTTGGGGATGCTGCAATGGTCGTAAATAAAAAAACCAGTCATAAGTCACTTTTTTCAGTGGCACTGTAACTTCAAATGGTCACTAAACAAATGGTTGTAACTCAAGGCTGACCCCAAACTACTTCTTTGTTCATTTTACTTGGTATGAAGAACTAATTAGAGGAAAGTAGAATTCAAACACTTTATTTCTGCACAGGAGCAAAGTGGGCATCCCAGCTGTCATTTTCAGTAAACTTCAGCTCAAAAGAAAATGGGCATCCCCAGCCAGGTTTCTATCAAAGCTTTTATACTTTTTCTACAAAGAAACACAAAGTTACAATCTCAGTCATTGGTTATCTACCACTTCCTGAGCATGCTGATTGTGCAAACATTCACATGTTCTCCAGAAGCTTCTTAGCATGTTTGGAATGATCTCTAAATTTCTCATTTAAATAATTAGGGGGTTGAGATTTTAGTATGCTAATGATGAACTTTTGTTCACCTTCGGACCCCTGCCAGGATTTTTTGCCCATAGCTGTAAGTCAAACGCCTCTTTGATTACCTCTTAATTGCTGGCTCTCTTGCAGATTTTTTAGGATTCTTTTCAGGCCACATCTTTCCATCAAACTAAAGCCTCCTGTATCTGGTCTCTGCCTTCAGCAGTTTCTAACAAGCATCAGAACTGATTCTTAGCTGCGATTTAGCTTCGGTTGGCAAGCTTTCGTTTATCTGAGGGAAATTATTGCAGTACTGAATCTGAAAAAACCTTCTGTTTAAATAATAATGATAATAACAATAATAATAATACAGGTTTATGGCCACAATTGAGCCCAAAATTTATGTTGCTAAGTGAGACATTTGTTAAATGAATTTTCCTCATTTTACGACCTTTCTTGCTACAGTTGTTAAGTGAATCACTGCAGTAGTTAAGTTAGTACCACAATTGTTAAGTGAATCTGGCTACTCCAGTGTTGGCGAACCTTTTCGGCACTGAGTGCCGAAATGGGAGCACACGCCGAGGGGAACACCAAAAACTGGAAGAGCAGTTCCCTGGCATCCTTCCGGTTTCCGGCATGCGCATGTGTGCCAGTCATCTGGTCTTCCGGTTTCTGGTATGCATGCATGCATGAAACCAGCTGGCTGGAACCCAGAAGAGCAACGGGTGACAGCTGGCGTGCCTGGAGAGTTGGCTCTGGGTACCACTTCTGGTATCCATGCCATAGGTTCACCATCACTGAGCTACCCCATTGACTTGGTTTGTCAGAAGTTAATTTGCCACAAACGGGGATTACATGACCCAGGACCCTGCAACCGTCATGCATGAGAATTTTGATCACAAGACTATGGGGATGCTGTAATGGTCATAAGCGTGGAAAATGGTCATAAGTCACTTTTTTCAGTGCTGTTGTATCTGAAAGGTCACTAAACAAACTGTCAAGAACTATCTGTAATGAACTTTATGAAGCAACTTAAAGCAAAATTTCATCTGAGACTCTTTTATAAGCTATTTTTAAAATTCCTGACCTTCACTAACCAGGCCCTCCTGAACCAAGGTTAAAATACTAGGCCTTCGTGTATATGATAACTGAGAAATATTTCAAAAGAGTTAACTGCCAGGCTCATCATGTTCAAAGAATAAACTTTTTAATTATTAATCACATTTGTATAGCTATTTATAACTTTCAAATTTAGGGATGCTTTCAAGTCAAGCTTGATTGCTGGCAGCTAACTGGACTTGTTCCTGCAGCTTTTTGGCAAGATTTCAGACATTCCATTGCTCTACTTCTAGGGCTAAGAGAGTGACTGGCTTAAAGACATTCTGCCTAAATGGGATTAGAATGCATAGTTTCCAATCTAGTATCTTAACCATTATACCAAACTGGCTGTCAAAGAATGGGTTAGAAGACATTGATGCAAATACTGTGGATTTGTCCCACTATTGTCCCATTGTAGTTCACTAACTACATGATTTTGTTAATGTGGTTTTGTGAAAATAATATGGTAAATTCACACAATTGCGATACACTTCATAACATTTGTGTGGTGACATCATGAACCATGTGGTGTTATTCAGTCATAACTCCCCACGGGGAACTAACTGTTCATAAAGTATTTCTTAAACAGGAAAGTACATAGTGTTGACCTACAGTTGGTCAATTTAACTCAATTTATTTCTCTGTCATTGAAAGTCAGCTTTGTGCTTCTTCTGCATGTCATTGCTAAGGTAAAATTATTTAGGTTTATCACCAAGTGACACCAGACACTGTGGCTTGTAAAATGCCTACCATTTTGTAAAAACAAACCATTTCTTTTTTTTAATCATAATTAAATAAACATAGCACTATTAGATTTAGGCTACAAAACTCTTTTGACCAAATAGATGCAGCAAAGCAATAAAGAAAATTTGAACTTTTTGCTGTCAATTTCCAGTAACAATATTTTGTACAAACCATGTCTGTGTAATTGTAGAAGTCACCCTATCTTGGTGAAAAATGAGGCATCATTTTCTAGTCTGATTTTAGGCGTGAAAGCCAGCTGGGTGATTTTGAGCCAATCATTGTCTCAGCCCAACCCATTACCCAGAGTTGTTGTGGGAAAAATAGGAGGAGGAAGGAATATTAGATCGTTTTGAGTTATTTATAAAAATAATAAAGATGGAATATATATAAATAAAATCATTTTGAAGAAGAAGTGCTTTTGGATAGCAGCAGTTCTTAATGCTAAATAGTAGCAGTAGTTCTTAATGCTAAATGATGAGCATGTAGCATTAAGAACTAGGATAGCATCAAACAAATGATGTTTAATGAGTAGGGAGAAAGTACCAAGAATCAATTTTGTTTTACTTGATGCCTGGTATATTATTTGTTGAAAATCAGAATTGTAATCTAAAATTAAAAATAAAAACCTTAAACAAATAAAAATTACAACTGTGTTATTTAGCCTTTAGTATAATTTCTTATAAAATTTGTATGTAGTGAGAAGTATGGATTTCATACTGAATTCTAGTTAATATGTCTTCCTAGCTATGTGGAAGAACATCTAAATGTTGACTCGGATTTGTTTATTTTGATGTGTGTATGTTAAATTATGGTTTAATATACTGTGTGAATCTTCCTATGAAGTACCTATTTTTTTAAAAAAAATATATGGTGAAATGTCTCAGGTAATTTCCTAGATCAATGTCAGGTGTCTCTAGGGAACTGCTAACTATATGATTTTTTGATAGATGATACTGGGCCATTTCTTTTATGTAACTTCTGTAGAACAGAGATAGCATAGCATAGCATAGCATAGCATAGCATAGCATAGCATAGCATTAGCATAGCATAGCATAGCATAGCATAGCATAAGCATAGCATAGCATAGCATAGCATAGCATAGCATAGCATAGCATAGAATAGAATAGAATAGAATAGAATTCTTTATTGGCCAAGTGTGATTGGACACACAAGGAATTTGTCTTTGGTGCATATGCTCTCAGTGTACATAAAAAGACAAGATACATTGTCAAGAATCATAAGATACAACACTGATACTGTGTTTCCTTGAAAATAAGACCCTGTCTTATATTTTTTTGAACCCCGAA